GTGCGCGCGGGGGCGGCGGCTTGAAGAGCCCGGTGATGATCGGCAGCATGCCGTGGCAGCGCACGTTCTGCACGAGCAGGTGGCACTGCGGCAGGCGGGCAGCACCATCGCCGCCGTCGGAGGGGGGGGGGGAGGAAACGAGGGAGGAGGAGAAGGAGGAGGAGGAGGAGGGGGAGCAGAGAGAGGAGGGATGTCCTCCTCCATGTTCTGCCGTTGCTCCTCTTCAGCCCTACTCCTCCTCTGATGCGAAGCCAGCGGAGCCGTTGCTCCTCCTCAGGATCCCCCATAATTTCCCATGTCTTCTGGGTTTTTGTTTTCCCCCCCCCCCGTCCCATATGTTCCCATATTTTCTGGGGAATCGACGATTCATTGTGTCTGTGTGCTTCTTCCCCTCTCCCTCGTCTCCCCCTATCCTCCTGCCGTTGGGGCTGGAGGGCCGAAGGCCTCGTGCAGCCTGTAGGTCGAGGCCTCCCGAGCGATCCCGTGGGCCTCCTGGACCATCTTGTGCCGTCTTGGCGTCTTGTGTTGACTTGTTGTGTTGCTCGCAGTATTGATAGTGTTGTTTGAAGGGGCCCTGGAACACACACACGCACATAAATACACACGCACAAATAGCAGGATCCCCCATATGTTTTCCATATGTTCTGGGTGTTTGTCTTCCCCCCCTCTGCCCATAGTTTCCCATATTTTCTGGGGAATCGACGATTAATTGTGTCTGTGTGTTTCTTCCCCTCCTGATTGTTGTCAGTATTAGCAGGATTATGATTGCTACTACGATTAGTATGAATAGTACGATTAGCAGTGTCAGCATGATGAATCGTAGTACTACTACCATCCTTAGTATCAGCATGAATGCAGTAAGCATGAGCATTGGTAATGTTAGCGTCGTCGTTATTGATAGTGCTAGCTAGTATCAGTATGATTCGTGTTGCTATTGGTATGCCTGTTGTGTATTAGTGCTGTCACGAGTACTGAAATGAGTAGTTTTGATATTGCATGTGTTGGTCTTCGTGTTACTGTTACTCAGGCCCGATGGGTCCATATCGAACAGAGCATTTTTGTTGTCGGAGTTCGCCTGGGCGGAAGGGTCACAAAGTGCAGTGCGCGCCCCCGCCGGGGGCGACTGTGCCGCCCGCCCGAGCGGGGGCCAGGGCCGTGCCGCCCCGCGCCCCTGGCACTGGCCGCAGCCAGCGCTCGAGAGTCGGCTAGACAGACGTAAGAGTGACCCCGGGTAAGAGTGACCTTTGGTGCGCAGCTTTTGGGGGCGCGAGGGAGCCAAACCCAAGGGCGTGGGCCGCTTATATCGCATCGTGCTCGGCGATCGGGGGGAGCCCGATGAGCCCGCGCCAAAGGCCACTCCGGCGCAGGGTCACTCTTACGTGTAGTCGAGAGAAGCCACCCCTCCATTGAACAGGGACCGACCGTCCCGGCATTCCCATAGGCCTACCACGACATGCCCAAGAGAAGAGAAGAAACGGCACAAACATCAGCTTTCGGCGCTCCGCGCGGACTCCTTGGATCTGCGTTGGACCCCCCTCCGTGCGGCGCGGAGCGCACCAGGGGCGGCGCCAGAGGCGCCGCCGGGGGGCCCCAGCGCGGATCCAAGAAATCCGCGCTGGATCGCGAAAGGCTTATGTTTATGCCGTTTTTCCTTTTCGATTACCTTAGAATCAAAGAATGTTCGAAGCACAAAAACAAGATGCGTAGAACATGAACTCAGCCTCGGGCCGAAATGCTCTGAGAAAAGCCCGTGCAACCCACAAGAGGTGTTTCGAACGTTCTTTTGTGGGCCTGTAAGCAAGCCAGGACGCTTCGCAACTGCTTGACTCCTAGGAGTGAGGGCCGGGGGCAAAAGTGCCCGTCTCCGAGGAGGAGGAGGAGGAGGAGGGGGAGGAGGAGGAGGAGGAGGAGGGGGAGGAGGAGGAGGAGGAGGAGGAGGAGGAGGAGGGGGAGGAGGAGGGGGAGGAGGAGGCCTGGAGACGGGCACCAACATCAGCACGGAGGGGCGGGCCTCCGCCGGGGGAGGGTGATCCCAGAGGCTGGTGCTGGCGGTGCTGCGGGTAGCGCCTCGGTCGCCTGTCGGAACCCCGCATCTTGCCGCCGTCAAAGAGATCGAGATCATCGCATCATCTTCCCTCGGTGGAGGCACGCTGCTGGTCGTGGTCTTCGCGCAGGGAGGATACTCCAAAGCAGTCAAAACATCGTCTGGGGAAGGTCTGTCGGCTGTTTTGGAATATGGTTGAAGATGCTTTGCCTATCTTTGCTTTGTCCGCCTGTAGGGGGACGTGCCCGACTTGTCCGGGGGCCCCCAAACGGGGCGGTGACCACACCGTGCGGTGAGTCGGTGGGGATTCGGGGTCACCGCACGGTTTTGGGACTCGGGTCGTTCTCCGAGGAAGTCTTGGGCGACGGGGGCCTCCAGGGTGCCAAGACCGTGCAGTGACGGACCGTGCGGTGAGGTCTCTTGGGGTTCCGAGGTCACCGCACGGTCTGCCACCGCACCATTTCGGGACTCCAAAGACTTTGGACGCCCGACATGGGTACCGAAAGAATGGGTACGATGCCCAACAACAAATGTAGTCCCAAACCAACAGCGGCCGCTGTTGGGCAGGCGGCTTTCTGTCTCAAGTGTACGCAGGCCGCGGCGACACCGACAGCGAGTCCTGTTCAAAATGAACAGGAACTGCTGTTGGGCATCGTACCCATTCTTCCCTTTCGGTCATCCCGAAAGATCAGTTTTTCCAAACGGTGGCACGAACAGAATACTGCACTGCAGCATTTCCATGATAAACCTGGACACAGGCCCCGAAAGCCTGCGGGACCCCCCTTAACCTGGACACGCACCCGAATCCTGCAGTGCAGCAGACAAACAATGCACGGGTGCTGAAAAACGTGACTTTTCAGGAAAGGATGTCGTTTCCTTGGTTTTCCGTGTCCTGGTTTATTGACGAACGAACAACACACACCCATACCCATAGGGAGGTCGTTGGGAGGAGGACTGGCTATGGGTACGGGTGCGGGTTGTCGGACCCTGGGGAACGCTCCCATGCGAGCGGGGACCCCCATCCGACAACACGCACCCATAGCCCTCTCCGATTTCCCCTATGGGTACGGGTGTGTGTTGTTGGCTCGTCATTTATCTGAGTCCTGGTTTCTGGGGGCCTGGCATTTCTATAGTCCTGCCACGAAATGTTCTTAGACCCCAAAAACGTTTTAAGAACAAAAAGAATGTTCTTAGAACATGAACCCGATGTGACAAAACAAGACAGCCCTAACCAGAAATGCTCTAAGAACACTTCGGGGGAACCACAAAAGGTTCTCAGAACGTTGTCTGGTAGGACTGTAGGCACGCCAGGACGCTTCGCCACTGCTTGACTTATGTCGGGCCTGTCTCCCTACAGTGGGATGTTCGACGAAGAATAAAAAATACACCAAAAATAATCAAAAAATAGTCCAAAAATAGTCCAGGGACCATTTTTTGCGTATTTGTTTGCCTTTTTCGGGTGTTTTTGAAGTATGTTTGAATTTTCGTCGAAAATCCCCCTGTAGGGGGGCACGCCCCACATAATGCTTGACGAAAGACTTCGCCCCGCTGCTGCCGGAGCCGCCGCGTGCCGGCGGCCCTCCCCCCGGGAGGCCCCCCCCCCCGCGGGCCCGCACGAGGCCGCCCGCGGGCCGCGCCCGCGAGGCCGCCCCGGGGAGCCCCCCGCGGCCGCTGCCCGCCCACGCCGTCCGCTCCACCACGCGGCGGCTCCGCAGCAGTAGGGGGAAAACAAACCTACCTCGCTTGTGACCTGTGACCACCCTCGCTTCCAAACGATGCCAAACTACGGCCTGTACTGGTCAGGCCGCTTGACGAGGAGGCGCGTGGTATGACTTGGTTTTGCCTGGAAGCGAAAGCGGGGTAGGTAATTCACGCTCTGACACAGGGGCTCCCAGCAGCGCGCTTGGCGCTGCGCCGAGCGCGCAGCGCGGATAGAACCCTTCGCGCGCTCGCGCCGCCTCCTGGGGGAGGCGAGGAGGACGGGGAGGAAGCGGAGCCGAAAACCGCGAACAACTTCGCACCCTCGAGGGCGCCCTTGGAAAGGTGTGGTTTGCAAAGGTGCGAGGCGGGGATTTACCCAGATCCACCGCCTGGAAACCGACGTCCAGGTGCCCCAGCGGGCGGTGGATATGGATATCTTTCGGCCCCCAGGGGCCCGAATGTGTCCATATCCACCGCCTGCCGAGGCTCCGAAAACTGACCCTCCAGGCGGTGGATATGGATAAATTCCCGCCTCGGAAAAGGGTATGGTTTGCGGCCGGCCCCCTGGGGGTCACCCCGGGGGCGGACGAGGACCTCGACGGAGCTCTCCGCCGCGCCCCGAAGAGGCCCGACTAGGACAGCGTCGTGCTCCCCAAGCCCCAGCGGTGCAGATCGCAGCCCCTGCCGAACGAAGCCCGCCGCCGCTCTCGTCCCAGGCAGCCACCCGGCCTGCCTCCAGGCCCGGACAGGATTCGGGGAGACGTGAGACTCGGGTTCGGGGGACTCGAGTTGGCCCGACGGGGCCAACACAAAAACGAGGAGACCCAATCTGAAATGTGACATGAACTCCCGCGGCGAGCATCCCACGAAAACGGGACCGCCAAAATCCAGAACGCGCTCGTCAAAAAAAAACGCCGGCTGCCCCGAGTCCCGGCTCACTCGAAGTCTTACATTTCCCCGAAGGTTGTGGATGCTCCTGCTCTGCGTGGTGCCGCAAGCCATGTCTGCCCCAGCGATGGAAAAATCGAGGGGCTGGCGGCCGGGCCTGGACTACAGAAGGGGGGCAGAGAGAGAGGGAGAGAGAGCGAGAGCGAGAGATCAGGGGGGAGAGGAAGAAGTGAGCGGCCTCGCTGGTCTCATGTGGCGGCCATGTGAGAACATTCGGGCGGGTGTTTAGGGGGGGGTGGCCGTAAGGGGGGGGGGAGAAAGGGGCCATAGAGGGGCCTTTCAGGGCGGATTTTGGAGCCAACAGGGATTTCAAAAGGGCTCCAGAGGACTCCTTCACAGCCCCATTCTTCCCCTCCCGCTGTAGGTCACACACCCTGAACCCCCGCCCAAGACA